TGACTGGCTGCACGAGTACTGATTGACAAGCCTAGTATTACTTCAAGAACCTTCTACAGATCAACAATGTTGGCTATGGAAAAATGATTTATAAGACAATCAGCTACACAATAGGATGCAGGATCCAATTTTTTCTTTTTTAAATCTCTTCTTAGGTTTTGGGTTATACTAACATTCCTACTATAAATGCTGTACACGCACAATAATCTGTACTTCTGGGATCTCATATCCAAACAGAGATAGGATGAAGACAGTCAATGGCTTCTATTTCTAGCTTTAAGTCTGCTCCACTGCCCTAGCTGTCAATTAATCTTAGGTAGGCTACTCCATCCAGCTGTAAAATGAGACTAGAACACTGACCTCAATTTGTGCTCTACAGGGAGCAAATACTCCATGAGATAAGTATCAATCAGAGAGTAATCTTGTCTGGACACACTGTTAAAAGTAAGACAAAAGCTTTATATTCCACATGGGGAAAAAATGAAGAGGGAAGAAAAAACTTAGCTTACCTTTGGATGGCCCTTCTCAAGTCATAGTATCCCATAAAGAATGCCAGCAAACATGCTCTGCTGCTCTGGGACATGATCTCACACTGCAGAGTACTCCCAAGCTCAGCTAGTTTGACATAAGCAGTAAGGGAAAAGCACAGCAGAAACAGAGCAGGGAGAGACGGAATGCCACATGGCTGGTAACTCTCCGTGGCCCAGAAGCACAATGTCTGATCTCTTATACAATATACTCTAAGACCCCTGAGAAACTAAAAATAAATCATTAAATAAATAAACAGAGCATCACCCAGCAGAGAGACGTTTTACAGCAGTAAAGACAGATGTACTCTCTAATGGTACAGACAAGTTCTTTAGCTTTAGGCAGTTGGGACAGTGAATAAAGCATCCTGATCCCAACCTTAGGGTCTAATCTGTTGGCCAACATATTGCACAAGTAGCATACTACTTGCAAAATGCTTCCTTGGGTAGCTTCTTTGACACCAAACAGCAGATAGTTTACTGCCCATGCAGCAGATGCAGTCAGCTTGGGGTTCCACGTGGTCATAGAGTGAGCAGCTACATGAACTGGGGAAATATTTCAAAACTTTTGCTATGGATATTTAGGTGCTTTCTGTCTAATTTTGCCCATTCTTCTCCTTCCACTTTGGTGCCTTTACCTGGAGGTAAGTATGAGAACCAGACATAGTGTCAGAATCAACAAACTTACCACAGCTTCAGTCTACTGGTGTCCCAAATCATTCACATACTGGAGGCCAAACAAGAAGGATCCTCTACCTGCCAAGCTGTAGAGAGACAACTACATCTACCCCAATTCTGCTGGACTCTGTAGTTTACTGTCCTCAGTACTTTGGCTGAGGAGGTATTCAGCATGGGTAAGAAACGCATCAATTTAAGCTGAATCTGTTCAGTGGGGTGCCTTGCATACCTAACTACAAGTATGTATGTTTTCATACCTTGTACAGTTTGCTGCATGATACGTTCAGAAGCTTGGCCTGTTTTTTAAAAGCCCTGTATGGCAGTCCAGGCATGACAGCCTCCACTGGGCACAGTTTCTGAACTTGAAATCCATATTTCCTTTCATGTTGCAGGGAAGCACAGTAGAAACCTTCTAGACTTTACAGCATTATGATTTTTATAGCACTCTGCACCACAGCGTCACAGTGTGACACACAGAAGGCTCACAGACAACTGTCAAGCAAAATGGATAGTAGGCTGTCACGTCCATAGACGTATTGCAGAACTGCAGCTCCTGCTGAATCTACATGGCTCACAGACCTTTCCAAGATAAAGATGCGGTTTCACCAAGTCTGTAGCTCTAAGAGCCATCCCTCTCTTCACTAAACTTCAGATTAGTATTCAACAACAAGTTTTATACAGCAGGCTGCAAACTGAAGCACACGCAAATACAGAATAGGTCAGCACTAGTGGCCCCTGTTTGTGACAGAGATTTTTTTCAGTAGAAAACAAACTAGGATTCAATGTACGTCACAAGAATATTCCAGAGAGGGAGCATAAATGCACAAAAGAGTTTGCAGAGTTTGCAGCTGATGTAGCACAGCTCAATAAAGAATAAAAGAACTGCACAGCTTTGCCAACCCACATTAGGTGAATCAGTGCGCTCATCTATTAAGCCATAAGTCAGGTATCTTACATGCAGCCTCAACTATCTTTCCTCTTAAGCTAGGAATGAGTAAACTATCTCCTGTATAAAGTGCACCAACAATATTTTTACCACTGGCTATATTAAATGTTCACAGAGATCAATACATTAAGTCATGCACAAATATGCCCTGAAGCACATGAAAGCTAAGGCTGAAAATTATTTTCTAACATACCAGGCAGTATTAATTTCATTTTCAAGTTTAACAAACTTCTCATAGCCAATTGTTCAACCTCAGATTCTGTTTTTTTTCCTTCCCTAATGCCAGTTTTTGCTCCCTTTTAATATATCCCCTTTAATTTCCTTTACAGCTCAGTACTGGTCAGAAAAAAATTGCAGAAGTTTCTCTGACAGCAGCTGTTATAGGATCTAGTGCAGATTTTAAAATAGAATAGAGTTGCAACTTGAATTCCAAAAAAACTCCAGTACACCATGCAAAGAGAAATGCTTGGGAGCAGTTGGAGAAAAGACTGCACTTCTGATTGAGCTGGTTTATTACTAGTGTACAAAACAGGTAGCTGCATCATTATAATGAGAGTATCAAAAAAAAACCAACACAAATTAGAAAGCTTAATCTACACTTCTGCTACAAGGTGCTTGACAGATTCAGCTGTACAACTGTGAAAACTAGTGGTACAACTTGACAGAATGTGGCCCCCTGAAAGTTCATTTTTTGCAGTACGCTAACATGAAATGCAAAATAAGCTGTTTAGCACTAGAGAGAGCATTTGATCAGTGAACTCCCGAAAACAGAGCTACCAAGGGGCTGTGCATTGTGCAGCCAGACATCTTCCTGTATCTATTTTATTTAAATTTATTTAATTCTCCTTGGTTTTCACACAAGTAATCAGTTTCCTCTCTCATGCTGCAGTTATGCCCACAGATCTTTTTCAGTCTGCATTCTCTTTTGGGGAATGATCAGACAAACAGAAAAAAAATCTTTTTTACTTTGCAAAACAGTTGAGCTCCCAGATGAGACCTCAAAGAAGTCAGGCCACTATGAACAGTGATAAAGTACAGAAAGATAGTTCAGCATCTAAAGGAAAATAAAAGCAAGTAAACAGTGGACGTAGCTACACAGACTAGTAACATGCAAAATACTTTATCGGAATAGGCAACCTAGCAATGACAGCTTTGTGCTTTTCTCCTTAACTAAAGTAACACTGAGACTGCAGTTATAGAAGCTGCCTTTCACCCAGCAGGTTTTTCTGCATCCCATTCTGTAAAATCAGAGCCTTAAAAGAAGACAGTTCGGTCTACTGCTATTCTCAGAAAATCATCTCACTCCTAAGCAATCAGGCTCTGAACCTTAAGCCATCAACCACAGCTTTGCTGGTGAGGAATGCAGCTATAGGAGGCAGGCTTGGTAAAGGTCAAAGTAGGAGACAGGACTGACCTGAAGCATCAGAAACACACTGTCTGAGGACAGTGCAGACTGAAAGCAAAAACAAATTGGTTCAATAAAATATTCAGTATGTTCAATACAAGTTAAAAATAATAATTAAAAAACAAACAAACAACCACATCCACCCAGCAAGGAGGAGAGCAAAAAGTATTATAATCCCCACGTACACAGAATAGAGTAAGAAGAAAAAGGTGGTTTAATTTTTTTAGGTTTTTAGAATAAATTTTAAGGATGACATATGTTACCATGATTTCAAATCAACTTTAAAAGCAGGGGCCATTGGTAAAGCATAGGGTGCAAAGAAACCCACACTATTTGTAAATCTGCAGAGATGTTCTCCTCTATCTGCTCACCCATGCAACAGATGCCCTGCTTTCTTGGTTTGTGAATGTGGTCCATATCCCAGACTTCATCACTATCCTATAAAACTTCACAACCATAGGCTGCTTTTGGGATGGAGCTGGAAACAACCACCTGCCTGATGTCCAGCAGGCCAAAAGAAATCCAAAAGGTAACTTAGCTTAAGTATTGGCTACTGTTCATTGGAAACCAAAAATTGCATTTACGTATCATACACATTTCAAACCGGGGAAACTGATGCCCTGAAAGACTTAGGTCTCTCTGCAGGAAACAACTGCAAATTAACCAGTTACCTGTCTGCCTTTGAGCTGAGCCTTAGAGCACAAGAGCAGAATCTGCCTGACCTGTCAAGGAACTTGTGGTGAGGGCTCTGAGGGCTCCTAGGCTCTGTGCTGCCACTTGCCTGTCAGGCAGTCTGCCAAGGAGCCATTCAGGAAGGAAACTGGGGAGGTTTCTAACAGAAAAAAACATCCCACTGGAAAATTTCTGACCCACTCTAATAATGAGCCTACTTTCACAGTCAGGTATGATGCTGGCAGAAGGCATGGCAACCTACTGCATTTTTTATTTAGTTACTGGCTTCCTATATAAATTTCCTTCTATACCGGACACACAGCATCAACTGAAGTAATCTTTAAGTAAGTTTGGTCATAAATCCTTTTGAAATTCTGCACAGCAAATGACATTCCTCTTCCTGAGAATGATGACAATTGTTAATTGGTGCTATTCAGAAGGTAAAATTTTCTTTGGTAAGGTCTTTACTGCTTTAGGCAACCACATGTACTTTTGGCAGTGCCTCCAGACGAGCCTTGTTGGCAGCATTCAGTATATGCCTCGCTCGGAAAGATCGCATGAAAAAACAGCTCACTTTCCAGTTCCAATTCCAAGGCTTAGTAAACTTGGCAAGGCTAACAGCATAATCTGGCCTGACTGCAGGAATAACTGATGCCTGATAGGTAGCATCCTGCAAAACTGCCAGGGCTGTTCAGGCACACACAGTTCCTCAACAAAAAGAGACCTTCTTAGCCTAACTCCCCATCTACTAACAGTTCACCAGCCTACATACCGTTCATTGTTCAGGGTCATTCTTGGAGGATCGAGGTTGGGATTCTCCATAGACTCCATTTGAGGACAACGTAGGAAGTAGTAGAGAGTGTGGAGAGCATCAGGGGACCAAGAGATGGGTTGCTGCTGCCGAGTTTGCCGAATGGGGCTCATGCCTGGGCGAATGGTGTTCAAGCACTGCATGTGGTGCATTGCCCGGGATACCAAGTCACCTGCAAAAAGAGAAAGAGTGCAAAAGTCTCTTTTATTCATTCACACTGCTCCTTTAGTACACTCTTTCAGCTAAATCGAATCTCTCACTGCTGAGAGAAATGCCCTTTGTGTAAAAAATTCTTTTTATTGCACTAAGCCAAAAATTGCCCCCAAGATGCCGCTTCTTGCGGTTTGCTCTAAAAGGAATTTAGCTTTCTTTCAAACAAAAATCTATGAGTTAGGAAATAGAAAATGAAACTTCTTTCAGACACCATGCATTCGGAATAATAGCCTTCCACTGATTTTTCCATCCTGCTTTAATGCTTTCTTCTTCTCCCCACCATGTAAAAAAAGTTTCTTGCCTGCCCACAAAGCCTGTTTATATTTCTGTAAAATCATTATTGCTTATTATCATAAGCATAGCTTACACATGGCAAAGCCAGCATTACCAGTACAAATACTTTTTTTTCTAATCTCCACAATCACTATTTTATGTTAGGAGATTAATCTTATTTCTTTCAGCTGGGCTCTGAGGTTCAGGCACTTGTGACAAATTAACGATACATTCATAGAGAAACCTCTTCTTTTAGGAGTCTGATTCTCTCCTCCTCACTCTACCTGCAGCTCCCTCCTGAACAATAAGACATGAACCCCCTATTAAGAAGCTGAACTATATCATGCTGACTGTCACAAGCTGTACCATGAATTTGCCCCTGAGCCTTGTAAGAAGTGCAGTCTAGAAGTTTTCTGAGCTGCTGAGTCCTCTCAGCCTTTGAATTTGAGCCAACCTGCCTCTGTTTCAGAGTACCAGGAAAAGACTTAAAGGCTGCAGATTTATAAAATTTCACAGAGCAGTGACCCCAAGATAGCAGCTATGTAGAAACTCTTTAGTCACATAAAGCTGACATTTGTGCAATATATTTGCTTTGGGCACACCCTGTTTACTCTCCTTTTATTGTGGTATGTTACAAACAACATCAGCTTTGCAACAAAGGCTTCAGACACTACATCTTTGACTAGTGTGACTACCATACCACTGGTCTGAACGATTACTATACATAGCTAGAGTCTATTTTTTTTCCTTGAGAGAATCCTCTGTTGCTTTACAGTCCCCTACGACTCTCACAGGAAATGTTACTCCATTGTGCCCTACAGTTACAATACTGGGAAAGGATGGAACTGAAATAGTTACCCCATCTCAAAGCTAAATCCTGAGAAAATGCCTTGAAGTTACTAATGTGAAATATGAATTATTCTCACCTCTCTCTAAAATTCTTAGGAAGTCATTTGTTCTTTTATATCACAGCAAGACACTGAATCTGCCAACCAACCTCCAGCTGAACCCATCGAGTTGTAGTGTTGCACAGGTGAGGGGGTAATCACCACAAATGCTCTGTATGTCTGTACAACTTTATTCAGTGGTTCAGATCAATGCAATACTAAAAAAATCTCCACTTGCAGTTTTATCACTTCTTCACTGAATAGTACATTCAGACTTAAGGACCCATTTCTGAACGTCAAAACCTTCTAACGTCTCTCCCTTTGCACTTCAGCAGCTCCAGACTCTTTGCACTCTAATCTCACAAGAAAATTGTGAATGCTTTAGCACTGCTACTAACACAGAAACCTGCACATTACAGAAGAAATGCATTTGGAATTCAAATTTTCAGCTCAGAATAACGTTCCTTCTCCTTTGCACACTCACTCTCTTTATTTTTTTGGCAATGTTCAGCAAAATTAAAAAAAAAATAAAAAATATCAGCAGGCAACTGTATCAGGAGATCCATTCACTAGGTGTAATGACTAAGTTGGCCAAAGCAAGGCTGGGGGAAGAGAGAGAGGAAGCTGTATTCAATCACAGACCCGAGCTACAAATGTTCTCTTGTGTTTCAGGATAAATAGAGGTGTGTTAAAGGAATTTGAAAACCTCAAATTAAGGCAGGTTGCAAAATAAATGGTGAAACCCACAAACTCCTTACTGGCCCCTGACATTCATTAGCATTCACATGGTAGAAACTAAGAAAATGATGCCGGCAGAAACATTGCAAGAAGTAGACGAGGAAAACACAAATCATTTTTGTTTACTTTAAAAGAGCTTTATGAGTAGTCTAGGAATGAAACATTTCATTTGGTTAGCATTTTTAAAAAAAGTTTTGAAGAGGTTTTTATTACTGAAGTGCTCTCAACCTTTTTTTTCCCTCCGCTTTTTGTTTTTTAATTAACCAAAAAGCTTTTCCTTGAATAACTTGCACTCTTGACATTTCCACTGCATGAACAATAAGAAAAGAGAACCCTTCTTGCCACAAAAGGAGGTGCCACTGCTATGTTCCACAAAAGTACAAGAAAGCCTCTAGAGGTATCTAAGCAAAAGCATCCATCTTCTATTGGTACTAGCACCACTAATTACCAAGAAGCTGGAAAAGCCACATCTTATGAATCTCCGAGGTGAATTAAATATAAAGAAGCCTAACGAAACAACCTGATTTTCATAAACCGCACCACAAAACAATTAAACCTTACATAACATCGTCCAAATACTCCTCACACTGTCAACAGTGGCAATGCTCCCACTGACCTCAATAGCAGAGGGACCGGCTCTCCTGCTTCGTGGAAAGGAATGGAAAGGAACGCACAGTCAGTTACAACTGAAACTTACTCAATTCAGAGATGCTTCCAACACAAGTTGCCAACAGAGACTGCTCTAAAGTTCGGAGTTCCAGCTGGGCATAAGCATCAGCTCGTCCATCGCTGCACACAGCGCCGTCGTTGTATGGGCTGAAGTAAGCAGGCAGAGACAGCACACCTAGGGAAGAGAGTAAGAAACAGAGCTGTTACAAGTGAACTTCTGGGAGTAGAAAAGCAAGTCTCCGTACCGACAGCAGTGAAGCAGAGCTCAAACATATCTTCACCTTCTTCAGTCAAAGCACTTGAGGTCTTTAGAACAGTTCAAACAAAATCCAGTAGTGCTATAAATACCATTGAAACGGATGAAACAGCGCAACTGGGATCTAGGGAGCAAGGCTGGAAGTTTCTATAGCTTGTAAAAACTAGAAACTGCAGTTGAGATAAAGCTACATGAAAAGCTTTAATGAAGTCCCTCGTATTGTTTATATAAAAACTCAGCCGTGCACGTACAAGTTGCCTTTGAACAGCTGCATGCAGATTGCTAGATATAAGGGCCTAATTTTAAAAGGTGTAGAAGATAACCTCAAGTCCATCTGGGGTAAATGGTAGCTGTAATCTTTGTAACTCTAAAAATAAAGCCATAGGCCATGCCAGCTCTTTGAACCTGCATGCAGTTTCAAATATGCAGACTGTGGTTTTTATAAGCGTGAACCTTTGGCTTTGCCAAACTACGCCCACAAGTTTTGAGGTTGACTATATTCTCTATAAATGACCCTATATTAGAGAGAGAGATTAGAAAGGTAGTTATGTTGTACGCACGCCTTCACTGCACACACACTCCTTCCATTCTGAAGGATTTCACCTTCTTGCATACAAGACAGTTAATGCACAGCAACTGAATGGAACTAAGGCTTTACGAGCAGTTCTGTGTAGATGTTACTGGGACCTCATCCTACCTGGACCATGTCTGCCCTTACAACTCATTTGAATTGTTGACAAATTAGATTATTTAGATGATCAGGTTGGGAAGGGTAGCAATGACTGGAGATACTGAAAACAAAACTATGAGGCAGTTTCAAGCTAATTTGCAAGTTGTCTCTAAAATGGGCAGTCATTTTCCTTCTCCCAGTCACTCTTTCTGTCTTATATCTTTGCTCGAGCATGGTAAATCTGCAGCCACATTGCAAGTCAGCGCCCACACAGATAGCCAAATATATCCAAAATATATTGCCTACTGCACTCCAAAAAAACCCACCAAAACAACATTAGCTGATTGCCTTTTCTTCAAATTAGTGAGCTGAATTGCTTTGCCCTGTGGCCACAGAACTGCTGTGTGTAGCACAGAGGGAAAGGGGGACTGTGACCTCTACATCTAATGGGAGAAAGGGAGCAGGGATATGTGACCATGGCAGGATGGGAGAGGGAACACGATTCCTCTGGAGGCACCCTGCAGTGTGATCCAATGACACCCAACATGACACTGCATCCACAGTAGAGCAAAAGCTTTTTGCAGTCAACTCAGCCAGTGTTCTTGTAATACAGTGTGTTCAGTTGCAGCCATACTGCTAATTATGAATCAATCCACAACTCCAGCTGTAGCATATCCTCAGTCTAAATTTTCTGTGATTTTAGGCAAGGGGGCTTATAGCTACTTCTGCCTGCACTCTTACATCCTGTATTTTTGGTTTTTCAACTTCGATCCATGAACAGCCAAACCAATATATTTCAGTTTCAATCCACATTTCTTTCCCGTCTCACCTTCCGACCCCAGTTAAGTCTCAGATGTGGAGATACTTTGCTCATATTGCAGTGACCTCCTGTCACGTAGGTGCTGTGCTTGTCAAACAAAGCCCTCACCAGCTGAACTGCAGTGTATTGGGCAAGACCTTTGTTTCTTTGTCTTGAGGTTTTCTTTTGAAACTGTATGCTGAATTGATCTCTCCTATTCTTTTCACATCCTCTTCGCATCCTGCTTGGTGGTAAAGCCAAGGACTGCATCAAAAACTTCCTGGACAATCTGAGGATAAGGGAATGATTTATTCCGTTGTGTTTCTTCACTGTGCACCACTGTTAGTTAATGGGAAAAACTCTGCCAATGCCCTCTGTAACTTGAATAATTAGGCTCTAAGAGCTAGCAGAAGCGATACATTCAAACTACAAGAGCTTGCTAACTACACTGTAGCCGCCTATACAGAGCCTAAGCCACTTCCTTTTCCACGTTAGAGCTATGAGAGGATGTTTTAAGACACATGGATTGGATTTATGGCAGAGGGAGAACAAAAATAGACTGATTTGTCAAAAGTTTCAAATAGAGGCGTATAATTCTACGGAGGCGAAAACAGAAACTGGCAGTTACATTATTAAACCACTCAGAGCAAAAAAATAGGGTGTTATTTCCCCTGCCAGCCAGTTTCAGTTGGTTCCGTTTTCTAAAAAGGAATTTAAAGTACAGATTTGTAGAATGATTTAGATTGGCCCAAATGCGAAAGTACACCCTCAGTTATTTGGTTATTTGTTCACCACGTGCCGTGGGTAAGAGGAAACAGAGATGATTTATTTACTTTTGGAGAAATTGCTCGTACAAGATAGTTGTGGACAAGATTTATGCTCTCACCTGCTGTGTTACAGTTGAGGAATATCCTCAGTGTACCAAAGAGAAAGAAGGAAGTTACTAAGCCTCTGGCCCTGTGACATCACCTGGGATTTTCACAGGATCATGGTAGAGGATGAATCAGGCCCTCTTTACAGGAGGTTCCCCAAAGGCTCACCTGGTCTGGCAGTTCTCATTAGGTTCTGAGCAAACCCAGGAAGTGGAAATTACATCTCAGTGCTGCAATTGAGACTGACTAAGAGCAGACATGGGACAGGCAGCAAAGCAGAAACTTAATCCACAATTATTACTGAAGAGCTTTCTGGCCCTCATCTTGCAGTGCACTGATGATTATTTCTTTTTCCATATATTTCCACTAAGTGTAGAGTTGGAAAAGCATCACAGTCATTCTTTAAATCAGAAATTCAGGCTCAAGAACATCTGCAGTCAAGCCTGGACTACTGGTATTATAATTAGGAACACAACTTTTTTTTCTTTTTTTTTTTTCCTAATTGGTATTAAAAATTATTTGACAGTAGAAACAAGTGCATTGCAATGTCTTCTTGTCCCCCCAAATGGTGGTATCAGCTCTCCTCCCACTGAAACCAAACAATTTGTAGATAAAAGATATTATGAAGGTAGAGACGGTTTCTATTTATACCTGGCATTTGCATTTCTGTATTTATTTTTATTTTTTAAATATTAGCAGCAACACTGACTTCCATCTTGGCTAACTAAATATGGAAAACTCTAATTGAAACACACCAATTAATATCTAACCACTCTTAATGTTTGAAATCATGGCAGAACTGCTGATTTACATCCTGATGTTCAAGAATGTTTTTTTCCCCACAAAACAACAGTGTGGAACAGCACCTAATCACTGTGCAGAAAGAGCCATTCAGACGTGTACACCTCCCTTCTTCAATTATCTAATGTGGGCTATGTTGAGCTTTATACATTTCTCTGGCTGTATCCTGGCACTCTGGTTACAAATTTTAATTACTTAATATTTTAAATAAGGATCTGAGCCCAAGCAAAGTTAGTGAGAAGTATTAATCTTAGCATGGCTTACGTTAAGCCTAAAGAGCAGAATAAGTTGAGAAGTCACTTCTCTAGGATGGTGTGAGGCAACACCCCATAACAGCCCAATTGAAAGCACGTTCATAGTGCTGTGATGAAGGCACAGCTGGCTAACAATTTGCTGCTGATATTTCCATAGCCTTTGAAATAGCAGCTGGAAATAAAGGCATATTTATTCTAACTCAGTTAATATAGGAAACCTGTTCATGGGCATTTGCTGCCAGTGATCTTAAAAGGCTTCACAACTGGGTGAAATTCCAGTTAAACAGTTCTTTAAAATGAAATTATTCTGCTTGCCCACAGATTTTGAAATTACTGTCTGTAATCTGATGCTTTTTAACTATAATTGACAATGTTTCCAAAGTCTGAGCAAGGTCCAGGGAAAAAGAGTGTTCACACCCTTGGACATCTTTCTACTTTAAGAAGTACAGCAGCTCTGCTGAGAGCTTTGGCTGTAAGGTGACAGCTCATGAGATGACCAGGGCTGCACACACTGTTGCTTAGTTTCCTCGAGTTGGGCAATTGGTCCAACCCTCAAGCAAGGAACTTTTGGTAAGGTGCCCTGCATCAAGCCCAATGCTCTCTGGAGATTAAGAGCCTGGCATCAACGTTTGCTCTTTTGATATCAAAATACAAAGAAATGCAAACACTTTTACCTTTATAATTGGAACATTTTAAAACCTTTTTTCAATTAACTTTTAAAGTACCCATGTCATCTTCACAATTTGCTGTTTGTTTCATGAAAAAACAACTATCCATCATTTTTACCTTGCTGTAATCATTTTCCCTGTGCTTTCTCTACTTTAATCTAAATCCTTCATGCTGGGACACAACTTCCTAAAGATTAACACGTCAGCTGTTTGAGGACTTTCAAACACTTGCAAGATGTCTGGAGGTTAAGATGGGGCCACTCACAAGTGACAAAGGGCCAATGAGGCTTGTCTGCAAAGCACTCCAATTCTGCTGTCTGGGATTCCACACAGAAATTGCCCAGGGTACTAACTCCATTATTTCAGTAATGTAAAACTTAACATCTCAGGAGCTGGCTGTATTCATGACATCTTAGGCAAAGAATCAGAAATATAATTAGGATGGAGCTCACACTGCAAACTACCAAGCCAGAAAAGTACACATTTTTTTCCCCCTATGATAAAAAAAAATAGAGTCTATGAGACAATACAATGTCCATTGATTTTTGCCTTTGGCCAGAACAGAAGTGAGTTCCACAGGCAAGCATTCTCTTTGTGAACTGTGTGTGCACTGCATTTAACAGTGGGGATCTTTACTGAATGATACCACAATACAAACAGGAGACATTTCTATTTGACAAAACCAATTAGAAATGAAAGACATTGGAACATTTGGGTTCCTCTTCAAAGCTTACGGACTATTTCTAAATGCCCCTAATGCAAAAAATCACATACATGAAGTCAGAACTGCTGTCAGTATGACCAGAACTGCTGTGCCACAGAAGCGTCTTAGGAACTTAAATACAAGGAAAAAAA